GTTCAGGGAGGTCTGGTATAGGTGACTCTCTGGAAGAGGCTGCTACTAAGAACTGCCTGAAACTCCCACTTCCTCTGTGACTGCAGGTTTCCAACCACAGCAGAGGGGCACGTAGCACATGACCCAGCAGCCAGAGCACCATCCCAGCCATGGTCTTTGAGGTAAGTGCTGCTGCCCAGCCAGGCCAGGACAGAGCTCAAAGTGGAGAACCCTGGGCACTGGGGGAATGCCGGGGCTGGCCCACAGCCCAGGGTCACCACAGGGTTGGGTGAGTAGCTGGAGGCTGCATGGGTTGTGGTAGAAACAGCACTAGATGGGGAATTGGGAACCCAGCTTGGCCACTGACCCTGGGTGTCTCTCCTCTCCTCTCTGGCTTTTGTGTCTCACCTGCAAAATGGGGGTGGGGGACGGGTAGACTCTAAGGCTCCGTTCAGCCAATTTGGAACTTTGACTCTTGCATGCTGGATTGAATTGGCACTGGGGAGGGCTGCAGGTCTGTAGTGCTGGGGGTGAGGGGGTAAAGAAGATTCTTTTCGAGCTCAGTAGGGGATCCCCTCATGGGCAACTAAATGGCTGTGCAAGCCTCAATGTAGGGAAGGGGAAAGACGGTGCCAACTGCATGCATTTGGGGGGCGTGGTGACTTATAGAGAGGCCACACGGGGGGGCAGGAAGTTGGGGTCCCCAGAGAAGAACCGAAGAGGGAAGAGGAGGGTCAATAACTGGGAAAGGGGACTGTGGAGAGGCACTGGGGAGGAAGGGAGGAAGGTGGTTGAACTAGGTGGCGGGGTGGGGCACTGAGGACGCAAGGCAAGCCGTGAAGGGAGAGCAAGGAGAGCGAGGACAGCAGGCAGAGAAGGCTCTGGGCACCTTAGGGACATTCTTCCTCCTGCCCAGGGATCCCTGGGCTGATGGGATCACGCAGAAGAGTGAGAGAGAAGCAGCCTTTGAGAAGGGAAGTCACCATCCCAGAGCCCAGGCTGAGCGGACGGAGTTGAGGAGGTCTGGCCCTGGAAGATGGGCGGGGACAGTTACGGGGCCTGCCTTCAGGAGGAGCTGCTCAGAGTAAATCACAGAGGAAGTCAGACTCAATTACAAAGGAGTTCCTGCCAGGCCTTTACACAGCCCCTTCCTCCCTGTTCCCTTCCTCCCAGGTGAGTGACCGCCAAGTGCTAAGTGAGGCTGAGGTGGCCGCCCTCCTGAACTTCAGCTCTTCCTATGACTATGGAGAAAACGAGAGTGACTTGTGCTGTACCTCCCCGCCCTGCCCGCAGGACTTCAGCCTGAACTTCGACCGGGCCTTCCTGCCGGCCCTCTACAGCCTCCTCTTTCTTCTGGGGCTCCTGGGCAACGGCGCGGTGGCAGCCGTGCTGTTGAGCCAGCGGGCAGCCCTGAGCAGCACCGACACCTTCCTGCTCCACCTGGCCGTGGCGGACATGCTGCTGGTGCTGACGCTCCCGCTCTGGGCAGTGGACGCTGCCATCCAGTGGGTCTTTGGCTCTGGCCTCTGCAAAGTGGCAGGTGCCCTCTTCAACATCAACTTCTATGCAGGGGCCCTCCTGCTAGCCTGCATCAGCTTTGACCGCTACCTGAACATAGTGCACGCCACCCAGCTCTACCGCAGGGGGCCCCCGACCCGCGTGACCTTCACCTGCCTGGCAGTCTGGGGGCTCTGCCTGCTCTTCGCCCTCCCAGACTTCATCTTCCTGTCAGCCCACCACGACGAGCGCCTCGACACCACCCAGTGCCAGTACACCTTCCCGCAGGTGGGCCGCACGGCTCTGCGGGTGCTGCAGCTGGTGGCTGGTTTCCTGCTGCCCCTGCTGGTCATGGCCTACTGCTACGCCCGCATCCTTGCCGTGCTGCTGGTCTCCAGGGGCCAGCGTCGCCTGCGGGCCATGCGGTTGGTGGTGGTGGTCGTGGTGGCCTTTGCCCTCTGCTGGACCCCCTATCACCTGGTGGTGCTGGTGGACATCCTCATGGACCTAGGCACCTTGGCCCGCAACTGTGGCCGAGAAAGCCAGGTAGACGTGGCCAAATCAGTCACTTCAGGCCTGGGCTACATGCACTGCTGCCTCAACCCGCTGCTCTATGCCTTTGTAGGCGTCAAGTTCCGGGAGCGAATGTGGATGCTGCTCTTGCGCCTGGGCTGCCCCAACCAGAGAGGGCTCCAGAGGCAGCCGTCGTCTTCCCGCCGGGATTCATCCTGGTCTGAGACCTCAGAGGCCTCCTACTCAGGCTTGTGAGGCCAGAATCCGGGCTCCCCTTTCACCCACACAGTCTGACTTCCCCGCATTCCAGGCTCCTTACTCCCTCTCTGCTGGGCCGGCAGGCGCTGGCTCTCCCCATATCCTCACTCCTGGGATTCACTGGCAGCCCCAGAACCACCAGGTCTCCCGGAAAGCCACCCTCCCAGCTCTGAGGACTGCACCATTGCTGCTCCTTAGCTGCCAAGCCCCACCCTGCCGCCCAACGTGGCTGCCTGGAGTCTCACTGCCCTTCTCATTTGGAAACTAAAACTTCACCTTCCCCAAGTGTAGGGAGTACAAGGCGCTGCATGGAGGGCGCTGCCCCACGAAGCCACAGCCCAGGCCTCCAGCTCAGCAGTGACTGTGGCCATGGTCCCCAAGACCTCTAGATTTGCTCTTTTATATTTACATCTAAAATCCTGCTTTAAACTTTTTAATAAACAAGATTGTCAGGACCAGGGCGTGTTCGTGCATCATTACAGCCCCCACCTGGTCTCCAGGAGCACTTCCTGCTTCTCCTTGCCTGGCCCTGGGTCTGTGCCAGCCCATCCTGCCTTCATCAATGTCTGTCTGCACTCTTGTCTCTGCCCTCGTGGGCACTCCTGTTCTACTCACAAGGAAACACCCAAGTACATGGGTGCAGAGTGAGCAGTTAGATAGCTGGCTGGCATAACTGGGGAAGGGGCCATCAGTCATGAACATGAGAGCTCTGCACTCCAGCAGCTCAGGACCGCAGGCAACATATGCATGGAACTAGTGAAACCCAGCAGCCTGGGCCATGGGGCAAATAAGTGGCACAGTGAACCCAGAGCTCAGGGCACTGAAGGCTGGAGCCATTTGGGAAGGCTTCTTAGACTTAAAGGGCAAGTAGTATTTCCGGGCATAAGGGAGGGCAGTAGCAAAGGTGGGAAGGCTGAAAGTAAGGATGAAAGGTAGTTCGGCATCAGGTGACGGTATTGGGGACCAGCTAGAAGGCCCTACACATTTTTCAGATGAGTGATACAAGCGCTTACTAAGGAAATGGCTGTGGACTTGAAGAAAAGCAAGGCCGGATGACTTGCCAACAGTCATTAGCACACAGCCACCTGGAGGAGGGCTGTGGGGAGCTTTATTCCAGGGCTATCGATGAGATTGAAGTGAGGGGAGGAAATAACTGGGGCTTCCCAGAAAGGCAGATGACAGGACTACTCAGTCAAAACAGAAGGTGATGGGCTGGGTTTACTGCACTGTCAGTGCCCCCTACTTAAGTCACTGACCTGCTAGGATCCAATTTCACAAGCCCGCTGGGTCCCTGCTGAAACTGCAGATATGGCTACAGATGGGAATAGGGAGGAAGAATCTGAAGAGTTGGCTGCGAAAGCTCGTCCCACCATATAAACACACCAGCCCACTTTGTAGCCACTAAACACTCCAAGCTTTTAGAAAATGAAGAAAGGAAGGGAAATGACAGAACCCACCTTGACTAGAAAAAGTATCAGGATAGTCAAGATGCTTGTAGCCGGCTGAAAACGTGGGCCCCAAGACGTCCACGCACTAATTCCCAGAGCTTGTGACTATGTTACCTTAGATGGCAAAAGGGAAATGAGGTTACTAATCAGCTGACTTGAACAGGCTCCTGGATTATCCAGATGGGCCCAAAGGAATCACAAGCGTCCTTTAAAAGTGAAAGGGGCTGGGAGCAGTGGCTCACACCTGAAATCCCAGCACTTTGGGAGGCCGAGGCAGGTTGATCACTTGAGGTCAGGAGTTGAGACCAGCCTGGCTAAACCCTGTCTCTACTAAAAATACAAAAATTAGCCAAGTGCGGTGGTGCATGCCTGTAATCCCAGCTACTTGGGAGGCTGAGGCAGGAGAATCACTTGAATCCAGGAGGTGGAGTTTGCAGTGAACTGAGATAATACCACTGCACTCCAGCCTGGGCGAGAGTGAGACTCCATCTCATAAAATATATACATATGTGTATGTGTGTGTGTATATATATATATAAAGTAAAAGTGAGAGGCAGCAGGGGAGTGAGAGAGGGAGCTGCTGACCAAGGAAGTGTGAGCAGCCTCTAAAAGGCAGAAAAGGCCAGGTGAGGTGGCTCATGCCTGTAATCCTAACACTGGGAAGCTGAGGTGGGTGGATCACTTGAAGTCAAGAGTTTGAGACCACCCTGGCGAACATGGTGACTAGTACTCAATACTAAAACTACAAAAATTAAGTAGGCATGATGGCAGGTGCCTGTAATACCAGCTACTTGGGAGGCTGAGGCAGGAGAATCACTTGAACCCGGGAGGCAAAGGTTGCAGTGAACCAACATCGCACCACCGCACTCCAGCCTGGGTGACAGAGCAAGACTCTGTCTCAAAAAAAAAAAAAAGAAGAAAATACAAGGCAATGGATTCTCCCCGAGACTTCAGGAAGGTACACAGCCCAGCTGACACCCTGATTTTAGCCCAGTGACACCAGTGATAAGACTATCTGACCCCCAGAACTGTAAATGTGTGTTTTAAGCCGCTATGCTTGTAATTTGTTGCAGCACCCATAGAAAACAAACACAATGTGGGTCCCAGTCCACCCCCTGAATCACTCTAAGTAGGGAGGCTGCTAAATTCTTATGGGCAGTCACAGAAGCCAGAGAAACAGGGAGTGCATCGCGCTCCTCTAGACATGTCCTGGAGGGCTTCAGATGTCCAGTGTCTTGGACAAAAGATCAGAGGGTCTGTTCTGGTCTAGGTGCAGGGAGTCAATGAACGGACTTTGCTAACAAGTGAGATGCATACAACTTTTATTTTTTGATTACATGGCTCAGATAGTTTCAATCAACGTCATCAGAAACATTTATGAAACACGTTTGTCTTTCCTGTCTACACAGATGTCACAGTAGCCCTGGTGTTTTAAGTGCTGCCTCTAAGTAATTTGTCCTCTTTCAAGCATTCTCCTCTTTCTCTCAACCTGCCACTCTCAAAACCTCATTTTTCTTGTGCATTTTGTCCTACATGTGAAAACTATGGAGCCAAAGTGTCTTTCCTCTGTCTATGTAGATGTCACAGTAGCTCTGGTGTTTTAAGTGTTACCACTAAAACTTGTCCTCATTCCAGCATTCTCCTTTCTCTCCACCTGCCACTCTTGAAAACTCACTTTTCTTTTGCATTTTGTCTTACATGTGAAAACTATGGAGCTGAAAAAAGACCCAAGGTAGATCCCAAAGGCTTCAGATCTTCCCTGTCAAGGGCACAGAGTGGTTAGCAATAGAGCCCCTGGTTAAGGTCAATTATCATTAATAACATGAATCTTAAATTCTAATATTACTTACTTAACAGTACCTAAATTCTATAATATTCCTAACTTCACAAAAACAAAGTTTTCTAAAACTTCTTAACAGTAAAAAATGTAGCTCACTTGTCTGTAGGTAGGATGACAGACAACTGCAAAAAACAAAAACATATATAGCTCACATGAATATACCCTCAGATAACCTTAAGAATTCTTTATTGGCAGGGCGTGGTGGCTCACGCCTGTATTCCAAACACTTTGGAAGCCAAGGTGGGCGGATCACCTGAGGTTGGGAGTTCAAGACCAGCCTGACCAAATAATTAAAACCCCGCATTTAAAAAAAAAAAAAAAAAAAAATTCTTTATCACCTTGAAATTCCTACCAAATGTTTTCATCACATCCCTGTAGCTAATCCCACCCATCTCCTGCAGAATTTTTCTATAATACTTCTGTATATACACAGCAAATGGTCGCACGTGGGGCACAATGTGGGTCCCATCTTTCCAAGTTAACGGCACCATGACCAGACACGCCTTGAACTTGACATAAATGAAACACCTGGTATCCAATGATTTGGTGTAGCGGCCAATTCTGGGAAGGAAAGGAACAAAACACAACAAAAGAATCAGTCACTGTTCCTTAGCATCAGATCTGAGATGTTGGTCTTGAGCCCAAAGCAAGAATTTTCTCTGGGTTGTCAGAGACCGGGGCACCAAGCTGCAGCAGGGGTCAGGCCGGCTCAAATTACACAAGAGAAAGGAGAAAGAGAACATGGAAAGGAGAGGAGGTTCTCCTCCTCAATTCAGACAGCCGCCTAGTTAAAAATCACTCGAGAGCCACTTGGAGGCCCCAGCAAAACATAACTGGGAAAAGTCTGAGGACAAGAGTCTTAGCTCGTTTTGCACTCAGTACATTCATAATGGACCTTGAAGGTAATCTTATAGCTATGGCAACAGGTGGCCTTGGGCAGCTCCAGGTGCACCCTGTTGGATATCCTGGCATAATACTTCCACGTGTCACCATAAGAATGACGGAAACCATGAGCCAGGAAACAGCATGGCATATTTCATGCATCAAGGTATCCTGGATTTGATCTTTAAAGAAGAATAGAAGGCTGGGCACAATGGCTCATGCCTGTAATCCCAGCACTTTGGGAGGCTGAGGCGGGTGGATCACCTGAGGTCAGGAGTTCAAGACCAGCCTGACCAAAAAATGTTGAAACCCTGTC